CTAGCCGCTGGTTACCTTGCCGGATCTTCTTATCTTTTTACTACTTGCTTGGCCTCTTTTCACCTTGAATCTTGAAGCAATCAGTTTTCGAGTCACTGATGAATCCGTACAGTGTGAAGTAACAATTACGGAGACCGTGCCAAGTTTGCTCTTGATGTGAGGTGAGTGTTATAATACCTCGAATTATAGATTCACCATTTTCTCTTAGAAAATTAATATTTATTTTTTTTAAATAACTTGAATTAAAACTTGTGCTCTTAGCAAAACAAAAGCTCTCCAACCGATAAGAACGAACAATATCTTCCCTTGGGTATATCTCTTTGCGCGTGAGACTGATTTAGACAAATTATTCGAGCGAAAATGTTCATCCATGGCCGTTGTAACGAAACTTCTGTCTCTCGCGGCAAGAATTGATTCTAGAATGAATTCTCCGGGCACTTTAGGCCTCCTCTGCTTCCAGTGACTGGCATAAGTGTATGAACCATCTCGCGAAGTTCTCATATCCTCCAATGTTGAAGGCATTAAGTTCACGAAATAACCAATAAGACACCACTTGTCACTTCAACATGTTCAAGGTATGGACTCAATCACAACTGATTTACGTAGAATTTTTACTCATTTCCTTTCAAAATAGACAATAACGGAGAGGTTAAATTATGAATTTCAAACATAAATAACGAATTCTGTAAAGCGTCTGTTAATTAAGTAATCAAGTTATCAGATATTAAACATGACAAGCATACCTTGATTGATATAACTAAAAACAACTTTTGATCAAGTTCTGTATATTGATCACTATGCGATGTTAAAATTGATCTTTTATCAAATATTATCAAATCAAAAAATGATGTATCATTATACAAACAGAAAACTTACCTTATTGAACATTCAAAATTCAAAATTAGATGTTTGACAACACTGAATATCATATTGATTCAAAGAAGAAATGGAATAAAACTTACATTCTATTGTGAATTGAAAAAAAAATTTGAAATATATTTCACATGCTGAATTATTTGATTTAATATTCATATAATAAATTAAATTTCAAACAAATTCATTTGTATGCAACACTATTTAGTTTGAAAAAAATTCTGAAAATTACTGATATACAAATATAAAACCAAAATAACAATATTAAGGCATTAAAATTTAATATTCAATCAACATTTTCATTTTCTTTTTAAATTTGTTTGTTATTATATATGATTCACATAAGATATGACTGTAATAATAATCAAAGAATAACAACTAAAAGTATAAATATTTAATGAATGAAGAAATGATTCATTGGTAAAACTTTCTAAATTTAATATATACACATTTAAAATGATTTTTCATAAAAATTGAATACAATTATACAAGAATGAATGCACATGCATATTTGAGCCATCCAATTTATGATATGATGAAAATTTTGAATTTAATTGAAAAAAAGTTAATAATCATGATTAGATTATGTTGAATAATATATATGAATTTATGCTTTACAACTAACTTTTCATAATGAAAAAATGTCATGATCATAAACATTTTTTGATGAAAATTGTTCATTTTTATATAAAGATTTTTACCTTATTTTGAATTATATATTTGATGATTATTTATAAATAAATAAATAGTGTGTGATAGAGTCTTAATTTTTTGAAATATTTTTGTTTCTAGATGGTGTAGCAGTCATGTTACTTTAATGTTCAATATTTGACATGGATGTATACAATGTGAAATAATATTTGTGTTATTTTTATGTTAGTAATTTTTTGGAATAAAAAAATTGTCTGTAGATGTTTTTATTACGTGTTTTTTGATAATCCAATTTTATATAATATAAATATAAAATTAATAATGTTATGTATGTTAAATTTACATTGATACGCATCAGTATCAATACTATAATCATTGACTTGGTACATATGAAAGTTAATAGCACTTTGAATGATAAGATAACATGTATAAGTTGATTTATAAAAATAATGCAGGAAAAAAAACGTATATTCATTTTAAAATAAGACAAAGTGTGATTAAAATAGGAAATTATAACAAAAAATATATTTTTTTAAAATATTTATTTTAATTTAAAATATTAAAATATCTAATCTATATTTATTATAAATTAATATTTCATTTTTTCTGACTAATTTGAAATAAAGTTTGCAAATTTCAAACTTGAATACAAAATGTGTGAAAGATGATATATAACAATACTAAAACAAAATATTTTTTAAAAAGGTAAAATATCAACTAGATCAATTTTGATGCATGATAATTTTTATTAAAAATATGACATTTTAGAATTTATAAATTTAAACCTGATTTCTAAATAAAAAAATTAAACATCACTATTAAGAGATCTTACTAATAAGAGAAAAGTGTACATCCTACATCGTTGTTTGGTTGAAAATTGTATTCATTTGCTATTATGTATTGTTCAAATCAGACAATGTTTGGCAATATTATTATGTTCAAATACAAATACATGCACACATGCATGTTGATGCAAAGAAGATTATGCTATTGGAGTTAAATACTAAGTTGACAATTTTCAACTTTATGAGTCAACTTGGAGCCATTGATGAGCAGGCAGCATACAATTTTTTAATCCGCGTAGAACCATTTCAAAAATTTGGACCGAGAAAAATCATCAATGAATTAGATTAGAATTCAATCAAAATGATACTATAATTTATTATTACATTATCAAAATTTTCAATGATCTAGAAGGAGAAAGAAATTATCAAGCATATCAATTTAGAATTAAATCAAAATGGAATTAAAAATTTGAATGCACTTATTTACAAACATGATATTTTAATATCTCTTGCAAAGTGCCAATAATTCATGTGACAATGATTAGAAAGTTGATCAAATCAGCATTCAAAGTTATATATGATCTTTAATCGTTGATTGATAGAAAAAATAAAATTTGAAAAAATTAGATTTATGAAACAATCAATTATAGGAGTTGTATTGAAGTATTATAATGTAGCCTAAAAAGAATAATTTGGATTGAAATAGAAGTGCAAATAAATATATGAAACATTTATTTTTCTCATAATTCCTTATTGCGATCATGATAGGATTTGTTAATTCAAAATTACATTTGGAATTGATACAATTAAATATAACTTGTCAATACAGTATTGACATTAGTGATGTAATATTATTATTGTACACATCAACTAGTTAAAAAAAATGAATCTAAAATTTGATGTACCCAATAGAATAATGTCATTCATGCAAGGTAATATTATTGAAAAGTTATACAAAGTCATATTCCCAATAGTGACACATATTGATGTTAGATTTTCACGTCACTTTTGGAAGATGTCACAAGTAGATTGGGTAGCATATAGTGAATCATATAAAAGCATTTTCATTGCATGTTTAGCGGATTGGTTAGATATTCATCGATATTCTTGACGACTTGTCAACAATAACGTAAACTCATATCGTCAAGGTAAAGTAGAGTTATAAATTGTGTAAAGTGAGCAAGCAAAGATGAAATTTCCAAGGTAAAACATAGTTATAAATGATGACAAGTGACTATTCAGATATGAGGAAATTTGTAGAATGATTTATATCTTTTCTTGCATATAAAATGGTTGAAACAAAAAAATGAAAGTAACATAACACGAATAAAAATGAACAGGGTCGCATGATGGAAATATGTGACAAATAAATTTTAATAAATTAAGGATACATAAGCATCATTTCTGTTTTTTCCCGCATTTCTCCTAGAGAAGTATGTGAGAGAGTTAATACATGATGGATGAGTGAGTGCAAGTAATACTTGGAGCAACAAGGAGAGTCAAGGCAGACTACATGATGTGGTTCCACGTCATGTTAGCGGCGTGTAGGAGGCGTAGTCAGAGGTTGGAACTTCTGCTGGAGTAAGAGCAATAAAGAATCAAATACAAATTTTTAAAAAAAATTATAGTTGTAATCGTCACTATTAGATAATATCATGTCACTATTGTCAATAGTGACAATACTTTATTTATTGGATAGATTTACAAGTTCAAACCTAATGGTTTTTGATTTCTATATCACTAATAAGAGTTGACACTATTCAAAGGTTTAACTCTTAACTTTGGAAAAAAAATATCTAACACATGAAAATTACAAATGAATAACAATGTTGATATAAAATGTAATTGACTATGAATCATGATTGATTAAAAATTTCATTTGCAAATCTAATATTAAACATACATCTAATAGCTAATCTATAAAAATATAAAGAAATCATACAAATTTTGATGTGAAATTCAGAATGTCAAAAAAGCATAAAATTTGATTAAAAAGATTCAAACTATATAAAATACACAAAGGATAAATTTGTTCATAATATAAATAAATAAATAAATATATAGAGAAAAGAGTACATGAGACTTTTCTTTCATCTATTGATATGGAAAAAAAATTAGAAGTAGTATAGACATTTTGGTTAGATAATATTTCTTTCATTCAAAATAAGAATTTTGAAATTTGATGTTAACATTTTAATATGAGATACAATAGATGTATAGTGAACTGATATATGAAATTTTTTGATGAAAGTATTAGGAATTAAAATTTCAATATGCTTGTAAGATTTGATTAAAATTTTTTATTGGCAATGGAATTCTGTACTGTATTCATTTTATATAAAGAGAAACATATATTTTCTCTCTATTTGAAATCATTATTTTTTCAATTGAATTAACATTGTTTAAACGTATGCAGATAATCAAGCAAAAATGAAGAAAATTTTTCAAGGCAGTGAAATTTTCTCTTGGTAAATAATAAGGATCTGATGTGATATGTTAGTTTTTATTTTTTTATTATAATGAACTAATTAAGGAAGAACCTGCAGAAAGTTGCGGCAATTGTTCAAGGCGCTGGTATTCGAAGCGGACAGGATTTGGAAGGAAGGAGGTTTGGATGGAAGAATGAGAGCAGCGTACCTCGTCCTCGCAGGTACCGAGACAAACGACGCCTCTCGTCGCCTTTACTCGTCGAACGGGGTTCTTTCTACCACGAATAGGGCGTATTTGGGTCAATCTTGAGTAGATTGATGTATGGACGTAATTGATTCAGAACATTGTCGAGTCGAATTCGAAACTTGTTCGGAGCTATGAAGCGTAAGTCGGCCCAGCTTGATTCGCTTAGCAACTCCGCCAGTGCCGCAGTGGTGGTGGATTTGCCCTCGCTCTCTGGGACGAAGGTTGGTAGTAATGCCTCGACTGTTGCGGCCGGAGGAGGTCCAGGCTATGAGCCTTTGGATTCCGACGTCATTCTACCCTCGGTGTTGCCTTTCAAGCGTTCACAGCTGCTAGATCGGTACCCTAAAGGGCACAGTCGCGGTCGACATTGGAAGCACTTAAAGCAGATAATTCAGGCGGAGAATTATCAGCTGTACCCTGCTGACGAGCCGACTTGTACGTGTACTCTAAACGTGAAAAATCTTTAGCTTCTGGAGAAACTTAGATGATTTGTCAGTTGTGCACGTGTTTTAACATACTGGTATCTGCTGTGAAATGGATCTGTCCGTCTGCACAGGGATGCCTTTTTGACATATGAACTCTTAGAATTTTTTTGTTTATGCCAGCTACGTTTCGCTCGAAGAGAATGTATAGAGGGAAGTGAGTGTCGAGCATAAATTCAAGAGGCGATAGTGAATACACCACGGAAATGGCAATTGTCACGAGTGTGCGGTAAAACTAGGACATTATGTTACGGGTAACTCCGAATGCAGGGCATTAGGGTAGGAATCTTTTAAGTGTATTAACAAGTGAGATTTTTTTGTGGCAGACGTAAGCATCGAGGCGCCTCCTTCGATGTATCCTGCAAAGAAATACTGTGATATTACTGGATTTGAGGTACGTACCCTGGCTTACCTATCACGTGGCTTGCAGTGAGTGAGTGGCTTTGTGAGTCTTTTTTGGTTCACTTATAATTGGCCTATGTAACTGCAATCTGCATGCCTCGTATATTGTTGATCGTATCATGCAAGATTGTTAAAGCTTGAAATCTTACAAGAGGTTCATTACCTGATTGTGTTTGGGTGGACTCAGTAATTGGAATGGTTGTAGTTGGTTGGTTCTCATGATCATAGTTGCAATTTTCTCGACTTTCCTCTTGTAAATATGGAAAGTATCAGTAGAGTTAATAAGTGTACAGAATAATAGTTAATTCGATTCTCTTTTTGTTAAGTATTATTCTTTTAATCTCCTGAATGGAACATGTGTTTTCTGTCCCCAACCCGCGAAATGTTTTCTTCAATTTTTTAAGCATGCTTCCGGAGGCTTTAAATGCAAAGCCTGTTCAATCACGGTTTGGATTGCCTCGTAGAAGACTGTACTACGTTCCTGACCTGCGAAGTGTTTTACACAGGCGCCTTACACAGATCCAAGAACCAAATTAAGATACGCCAACGCGGACATCTTTAAGAGGATACGGTCACTGCCAGATGAGTTTATTCAAGGCTACTTGGCACTTCGAAATGCTGCTGTAATTATCAAGTAGCCATATTGGCTTTTGCAACTTGGACGGACTTGTACCACGAAAGTAGACTGGGAATACCTGCTGTCTGTAAAGTAATCAGTATGGAAACTGTAATTGGATCATCATCAGCCTGCCAAATGTCTTATTCTTTCGGCAGGTCTGCTGCATTGCAGAGTTATGTTCGAGTGGTGAAGATCTCAACAGATGCATCGGTGAAGAAAATGTGCTCAACATTAGTTTGCTTACCTCCACGCACCTTACATTGCGTAGGCCAACTAAATTCTGGACATTGTTCAGGAACCAATGGACATGCTTTAGGTTTTAATTGTCATACCCCTTCTAAAAGATTTCTTCTTAGTAGGATACGTGCACATACGGCCAATTTTGTATATAGATCAAGAATCTCAAATACAGACAGACTCAATGTTCATCCGCGCTTATATAGGAGTAGATCCTTTTTGCAAGAAAAGGAAGGAGTAGCACAAGTTGAAGACGCAGGTGAAGAGAGCGAAATGAACAACTTAGAGTCTGACGCCGACTTGGATGACCGATTTATCATTCAGGAGTCTCTAAATTTGTTTGAGTGGCCTGCAATATGCGCTCAGGTAGCCCAGTTTGCCTCAACTCCTATGGGCACGATAATTGCCTTAGATGGAAATCTGACTGTTGGATCCACGCAAGCTCAAAGCGAGGAACTGTTGGATCAAACTGCAGCTGCTTTTGCTTTGAGTAAACCTCTTTATTTCTCAGGCATCGAAAACCTCCAGGGTATTGTTGGAGATGCGCTATCAGGCAACGTCTGCGGAATCAAGGATCTCAGTTGCATAAGATCAACCCTTTTAGGTGTTCAAAAGGTCTATGATCAATTGTGTTGTCCATCTCCTGAGTCCAGTAATGAAAATATCTTAGCTCTACAGGCTCTCATTTCAGATTGTGATTTGTGTTCTGATTTGGTGGAGGAAATTGAGCATTGTGTGGATAGTACGCTAGAGACCGTTCTCGACAGGGCAAGCCCGGCTTTGGCAAGTGCAAGACTCAGCAGAAAAGAGAACGTTAAGGCTCTCGACTCACTACTGAAAGAAACGGCAGTGTGGGTTGTTCAACAAGGCGGCATGGATTCTGTTGTTATCACCCGGCGAAGAGCCCGTTCATGTATTGCAGTGAGGTCCTCTCATAAGAATCTACTTCCCGGCGGAATAACTCTGGACGTTAGCAACACGGGCACAACTTCCTTCATGGAGCCAGAACCTGCGTTGAAGTTGAATAACGAGGAAATGAGACTTGCTGGTGTAGAGAAGGCCGAAGAGCTAGCAGTCCTAGAAATGTTGACAAGGAAGTTCGTAGATAAAGCGGAGGTAATAATGGACCTTATGGGAAGGATTACAATGATAGACCTTGCTTGTGCCAAGGCCTCTCATGCGAAGTGGTTGGGGTCTGTTAGACCTTTCTTCCATGATTCAGATGAATCAGATTTACTAGATGATTCCTTTATGGTTGATATTGAAGGGATTCGACATCCACTTCTTCTCGGGTCTACAAGCAAGTTGCCAGTCTCTGACAGGATCGGAGTTCTCCAGTCTACGTCAATGTCGAGACCTCATGTGACAAGTTCAAATATGAAGGAGAATTCCAGAACTGCATCCACATTGAAACCTCCTGTTCCAGTTGATATCAAGGTGAAGGCGAAAGTTAAAGTTGTAACTATAACCGGACCCAACACTGGTGGAAAGACTGCAACTCTGAAGACTCTGGGAGTAGCTATCCTGATGGCGAAGGCTGGGTTGTTCCTCCCAGCTGTAGGTCAACCGAAGGTTCCCTGGTTTGACCATGTTTTAGCCGACGTCGGAGATGAACAGGTAACATCGAGAGATAGAGGTTGTATTGCAGATTTCTTGATGACCGTAACGATTTTACACCTTCATTTATTTACAGCAAAATATCGATTTCTTTGATTTGGCAGTCACTCGAGCGAAGCTTATCAACTTTTAGCGGTCACATTCGTCGTCTCCGACGCATTCTAGAGATTTGTACTTCTCGGTCTCTGGTTCTGCTGGATGAGGTCGGAGGCGGTACAGATCCAACAGAGGGTGCAGCTTTGGCCACTGCCATCTTGCGACACCTATCTCTGAAAGTGAGACTGTGTATTGCCACCACACACAGTGCAGAACTTAAGGACTTGAAGGCTAAGGATACAAGATTTGAAAATGCCTCGGTTGAGTTTGATATCAAAACGTTGAGACCCACGTACAAAGTGTTATGGGGGGTTGCTGGACAGTCCAATGCCTTAGACATTGCGGAATCTCTGGGTTTCGACAAGGCCGTCCTAATTCGTGCAAGAGAACTTCTGGTGAAGATGAAACCTTCACAACTTGGGGTTCGCACGGTGGAGCTACTTGTGCCTCTTGTGAAGCAGCGAGATGATCTGGTTGAACGTGCTAGAGTAGCATTTGACGTTCTTCGAAATGCTAAAGAATTACACAATGAGGTGGGTTCCCTTGATCTCTGTTGATTATATTTGAGGTATAGATTAGACTAGCTTTTTCTGTTGGTTGCGAACCTAAACTTTAACCCTGTATCCTTTTAGGAAACGTTACTCTGTGAAATTTTTTTAAAATGTATTTGTTCATCGTTAAATTCATGGAGAAAATTAAAACACAAGCCTGTGTTAATAAACGTATATATTTCTACTTCATCTTCTTGTTAATATTCTAGGATAATAAAGTGTGAGCATCTTTTTGATACTTCTTTTACTCTGACTGCAATTTTAAATTTTGCAGTTAAGTGCAGCAGCTGTCAATTTGCCCAAGCGAGAAAATGCCTCTAAAAGGATGCTAGCACAGGTGGTTGAGGACGAAATTGTTAAATGTAAGCTTGAAATCGAACAGGCAGTGGAGACGTTTCAAGAAAACTTTGAAACAGATAATGCCCTATCAATCAGAGACGTACATGCCGAAATAGTCTCTATCGTTGAGAAGTATACGTCTGAGAAGGGGCAAAGCACAGCCCTGGATTTCTTACCCCCAGCAGTCAGCACTCCTAAAGGAATCGCCCAAGAAGCTGAATCGCTGACGGTAGGCGAATTGGTCCTCGTTAGGAGATTAAGTAAGACTCCAGTTACTGTGGTTGAAATTCCAGAGAGAAGTGAGTACGTGACGGTGCAGCTGGGTAGCCTGAATATGCAGGTGAAACTGAACGAGGTGATAAAAATTCGGAGTGCTGGATCTGTTTCTGGGTCAAAGTCGACTGAGCAGGTTTGTTATTCCGTTGAAGTTTTTCAGTTACTCCTCTTTTTCGCAAGGAATGTAAGATGCTGGTACTAAGGAGTGTGACCAAAAGTGAACTTTCAATGTTAGAGGATAGGTGCCTGCTACTCTCAGACATCTATCATACAAATGTCCACAATGTTGAGTGGCTCTAACTCTAACGGTAGCAGCTGATGTTTAGAAGTGACTAGACCACTCCATGTGGTTGTTGTCGCGAATCGGCATACTGCCATCATATCGGATGAGCAGGCTGTACTACTGAATGTTCCTAATAGTCATTAAGGGCAAGCTCACCTACCTACCATGAGACTTTCTACGTCGTATACATACTACGTTTCTCAACTCATCAAAGCATTGAGCAGTAAAGTTTATGCTAGGCCTAACTGAGAGGTCACGTCTGTTCTTTCTTCTGCAGGTAACAAACAAAACGAGACCCAACAGACAAACAAGAAATCAAGAGGATGGAGCAGGAACGTCAGATTTAGATAAATTCCAAGTTGCGGTGCAAACATCAAAGAACACTTTGGATCTTCGAGGCATGAGGGTTGAGGAAGCCATGCGAGAGCTTAATATGACACTTTCGACCAAAAGCCCAGGGTCAGTGTTGTTCGTCGTTCATGGGGTCGGTACTGGTGCAGTCAAGGAGGCTTCCTTGCAGACGTTGCGAAAGCATCCGTATGTGGCCAGATTTGAAGAGGAGAGCAGAACAAACGATGGTTGTACAATTGTTTATATCAAGTAGCATTGTCTCTGGTCAATTATCATATCTAATTTAGTTGCCTAACCTTTGTTTCACGAGTATTAAAGCGCACTGAAAGCTGGAAGTTTCTTGCTACCTAGCTGATATTGGACACTATGAAGAAAGTGAAAGAGCGCTTGAATTCAGCGATCTGACCAATCTCTAACTGTCGTTGAGTGCTTGGAATTATATGACAAGTTGTTCACAGTAGTTCGTATATTATAGCAGTCCTCACGGTTAAGAAGACTAGGTTGCAAACTTGACCTCACCACCGAGCTTAGAATAAATAATGTGAGTGTATGAATAGTAATGTCGAAGAGCATGGTCAATTTTAGCTTCTTACAGCGCGTAGCTTGATCGAAGATGTGTTCTCCGAATCTTGAAGTCCCCTGCTCTATTGTATGAGCAGCACACATACATAACGATGAACTATGTTGGCGACACCTTCATGGTCACTGTCTCAGAAAGACAGTGAATGCCAGGAAGGTACCTAGCTGATATTTCGGATGGATTTTGAGGATGCAAACTACCCTACAGGATGACGCAAAAGCGATTAATTTAGCCACATCATATATTGAGGTTGTAACATTAAAATTTTTAGTAAAGGTAATAAACTGATTAGACAAAATTATGGCAAACAAAAATCTGACATTGTGAATTTCCATCCAGAAGAGTGTCAAATATCTAAATGTGATTTTAGTGATGCGTGTGTATTTAAAAAAACATCAACTTTATGTAGGCATGGTATGTGATATTAGAGCCAAGATTTGCTATAGATTGAATCATGTTGACTCTGAAACAAAATTATCTTTAATGAAAATCTTTGTCACTTGCACAAGTTAATGTCGTGCGACTCAGTATCGTCATACATCGCTGACATGCTATACTCACAACTCGAACATACATACACAAGGAACGAGAGTGTCCATACACAAAGGTATCATAACTAAAATAAGTGTCGAAACACAAGTACACAGAGAGTCGAACCAAACTCACTACTCGCAGGTAGGATCAGAGTCGAAGCTAGCGGGACTGACATCTCCCTACGCGAAAGGCTCAACTCGAAGAACTGACAGTTCTTCGAGCTCGCCTCAAATATATCCTTGGAAGGTGTCGACTCCATCCAACACTCCTCGCCCGTCTGCCGCGACCCAACGTTAACCGACTCCAACTCGAACTCAACGTGTCTCAACTCAAATCGACCCAACGTCTCGAGCCATGACAGCTGTCGTGCGACTCAGTATCGCCATACATCATACATCGCTGACATGCTCTACTCACAACTCACACATACATACACAAGGAACGAGAGTGTCCACACACAAAGGTATCACAACTCGCCCCCCTAGCTGGCGATAAGGTCCCTCTAACTCCCAGGTAGCCCTATCTACAACTACATGCTATGCACCTTCGTGGGTGCGCGAACCAGTAGGCCGGGTGCTATGTCGCCCCATCGTTAATCGCCTATCTGCAATTCATAACATGTGAAGATCAAGTCATCTACACTCTGAAGTACATCGAGGACAAACCCACCGTCCAGTAGGAACAACATCGATAGGTGGAATCAAGCACGACATGTGCCATCCCCTAGAACACCTATCACACACCAACATATGGGCCGCCTGATCAGTTGAACTACATAACATGCACCTCAAGCCGGCACGTACAATCGCCAAGCTTGGGTCCATAGTACCATCCACGTTTGGGAGGTGGCATGGCGCACAGTTGCGCACATGATCCTTCCAATCGACACCGTCACGACCCTCCAACATGAAAACTCCAGAAGGTAACACCTCTCGCACTCGCAAGATAGTGCGTACTGCCGTCACATCCAACGTAGTCGGTGCAGTCTGCTGTAGATAGACGTAGTCTCCCACGCGGAACCTACGAATCGATGATCGATAACCTCCTCCTTGAATAGTAGCATACCGCAACGTATCTCGGTGCTAAGCAATCGCAAGGTTCTCAAACGCTGCAGGCATAACTCTCTGAAAGAGCACTGCACGTTGAGAACACACTCTCACCCACATATCTGGATCATCAAGGTTCACCACCTCGCTAGACTCACGACGAATCGCTGCAGGCAAGTCTGGATCTCGGCCGTACAATAGAAAATATGGTGAAAACGAAGCCAAGGATGCTTGACGACTGAATCGATATCCCATGGCCAACCATGGTAACTGAATATCCGAGTTCCCAAGATGCCCCTTCTGTAGGCCATACTTGCGCAACGCTCTCTTCACCGTCTGTACCATCCGCTCAGCCAAACCATCCGCCTCTGGATGATCTCGGGAAGTAGTCCGGTGATCAATCAGCGTCTTGTCACACAAAACCTGAAACTCACCTTGAAACTCTGTCCCCTGATCGGTCAACACCTCAGCTGGTGCACCAAAGTGACTAAGCACCCTGTCAAGGAAAGCATATGCTACTCCCTCACTCGCCTTGTCAGGTAATGCCACCAACTCAATCCACTTGGAGAAATGCTTCACCATCACCAACACATACCGATGATGTCGTGTAGTCAAAGGTAGTGGTCCAGCAAAGTCCAAACTCCAACGGTAACCCAATCCCATGATAGGTAAGGGATGTAACTCTGGTGTCGGGGCATTGAACGATGCCCTCACTCGATCACAAACCATGCAACGTGATACCAACTGCTGCACCTGCGTATGCATACCACGCCACCAATACTGACATAGGAGTAAGGTGTACGTACGCTTCACTCCAAAATGTCCCAACTCCTCATGAGCATGCCTCACAATGCGTGCTCTCTGAGTTGGATGCGGTACTACCCGTACCCTACCCGTCCTCCCACACTCGGAGAACATGTGGTCCCTCCAATCGGTATCTCTTCGCCCTCTGGAGAACACGATCTCGCTCCTTGGCACCCATTGTGCCTGGCACCATACTAGTCCGTAGGAACTCCAACACCAACGCATCATCGTGAACATCACGCTGGTCCACACCATCATCCTCAACCTCAGGATCCGAAGACTAACTATCTACTCTCTGACTAGAGTAAGATGTCAAGTGGTCCTCACAGCTAGAGGCTCCACAAAACCAACACATGAAGGCCGATGCATGCCAACCGGACACCATCTCCTCATCAACCTCACCATGCCACCTAGCTCTAGTGTCATCCTCCTGGCTAGTGCATGGGTTCCGACTCAAACCGTCGGCATCCAGGTTCGCAACTCCAGGCCTATGCACCACCTGAAAGTCGTACTCCTGTAAGATGAGAGCCCACCGTGCAAGCTTCCCTGTGAGCTTGTCAGACTCCATCAACCACTTGAGCGGTTGATGATCGGTAACAAGGGTAAATTGCGTACCAAACAAGTAACACCTGAAGTGTGCCACAACCCACACCGTTGCCAAACACTCTCCCTCGTACGAACTATACCGCGACTCTACTGCATTGTTCGAACGACTAGCGTACGCAATCACAAACTCCTTGCCCTCATCATCACATTGCGTCAACACCGCTCCAAGTCCCAACATACTCCAATCAGTGTGCAATTGGTATGGTCGACCTCTGATAGGTCTCCTCAAGATGGAAGCGGCCACCAACCTGGCCTTGAGCTCAACAAAAGCTCTCTCCTGCTCATCTCCCCATTGCCACTCCTGATCCGACTTCAGCAACTGGTTCTAAAGCTTCGCTATAGCACTGAATCCCTTCACATATCTCCGGTAATAGTTCGCCAAACCCATGAATGCACGAACTCTACTCACATCCGCTGGACAAGGAATGCGTGCAATAGCCTCCACCTTTGCCTGCTGAACTCCCAAACCACCTGGGTAGATCACATGACCCAAGTACTCCACCTTCTCCTGGAAAAACCTACACTTCCCAGGATGTAACCGCAGACCATGAGCCCTCAACCGCTCAAGCATAGTCTGCAAATGTATCTGGTGTTGCTCCACCGTGTCGCTAAACACCAAGATATCATCAATGTAACAATCTGACGAAATCTAGCCCCGCTAGAATCCTGTCCATCACTCTCTGGAACTCGGCAGGTGCATTCTTCAACCCAAAGGGTAAGAATCGCCACTGATACAAACAATCCTTGCCGTGAGAGTTGACACCCCAAAACGCTGTCTTGGCCTTGTCCTCCTCTCGAATCGGCAACTGATGGTATCCCGCCCGAAGATCCAAAGTACTAAAAATTTTCGCATGTCCCACCACATCGAAGATCTCCTCAGGTGTAGGCATGGCATACTTATCGGCCTTCGTCTGCCGATTGATAGGACGGTAATCTCCACACATCCGCCTATCCGTGTAGTTGCCATGTACATCCTTCTTCGCTGGCATCACAGTGGCTGAAGCATACTCACCATGCGACAACTCCACTAACTCAGCCTCCAATAACTCCAACGTCCGACTCTTAATCAAGTCCCTTTCCATATCACTATATCGATAGGGACGACGAAAGATTGGCGTATCACTAGCCAACTCTATTCGTATGCCGGGTCCAATCAAAGTACCCAACTCCTTCATACTGAAGGCAAAACAACTCCTATAGTCACGTAGGAATTGTATCAACCGTCGCCTCTCTCCTCCGGTGATCTGAGAACCAATCGATGGCTCCCACTCCTCCTCCATGGACCCACAAGAGGGAGGCGATACTGTCACTGGTTGCTATGACACCTCCTCCAAAGGAGGGCTCTCCGTACCCTCCTTCGTAGCAACCTCCCCGTGACTAACATCTCCAACTGCATGGGCGTCTACTCTCGCAAGTCCTCTCGTCACGTCCCATGAACTCCAAGGATGACGAATATCTTGCAAGTCGCCCCCAGCCATTGCCACTACCGTCCCGGTAGGCAATGAGCTAATAAGTGGTGTAACAACTACCAAATCTGCGCGCAAACGGCGTTGCTCGGCCAAACCCAAGCTCACAATCCACGTCAAGCAGTTCAGGTCCATAGCCTGATCCAAAACCTGACGACGCGATGCCTCTGACACTGAAGAAGCCGCGGTCACACCAGTAAGAAACCCCATCGCACGCTCTCTCTCATCAGCGTTGGGCTCCACCAACTGATGTAGGACACTGTCCCACAGTAGTCCAGGTCCCCCATCACGATATGCATGTGATGTCGGATAACTGACCAACGTAGGCAAAGCCATCCGAGGCTGACCTACGTGGTTCATCAATGCCATGG